AAGAAGGATTATCCAGAGAATCAAGAAAATTATGGACAACCCTGAGCATTCTCTTCACAAGACTGTCCGACAACGGAAGAGTGTCTTCAGTCAGAGGCTTCTTCAGTTTCGCTGCAACACTGACCGCTACTGGAGATCCTTTCTGCCAACAGCCATTGTAATATAAAACAACTCTTTGATGACTTGATTATTTTATTTATTTATTTATTTATTTATTTTTTACTGTGTCCTGTCTGGCTGTGAAGCAAGCAGAATTGATGTCTGAATGCTGGTAACAAGCCTTACAGATTTATTCTCAGGTGGAGCATCAAAGCGTCTGCTTTTAATGTCACGCCTGATACTTAAAACTTCATTGTTATTGTTTTTGAATGCTTTGAAATTCCGACCAGACACGGAGACAGAGGTGAAAGAGAAAGGAAAAGACAAAAGGTGGGGAGGGGGGGAGGGGGCTTCCACAAAAATAAACAATAATGAACAAGAGTCTGCTTCTAGACCTGCAGAAAAAGACAAAGAAAGCAAAAGAACACAAAAAAATGGGACACAACAACAATACAACAAGATAAAGCTATCACTGCGTCAACTTGATGAAGAAATATATAATCAACATTGCTTAACTGAAGAATCACACGATAATAAATCACGGTGCATTAAGTGCCAACCACAGCCTTAAGCTATGTGTTGAAAATGCCGAAGTTCATATTTATGAGAGCATCATGTGAGCATCTGTGTGTGTACACGCGCTTTTATATGTAAGGTTTCTCTATACGAGCATCCAATAGAGTGTGAGGAGCCACAGATCAGCCCCCCAAAGATGTGTAGGAGATGGAAGGAGCTCCAAGCCCCAGAGATCCAGGAGCTGCCCCAGAGCACAGGGACCCCAGGGAGACTGCAACCAGAAAAGTCCCTGCCCCTCTTGAGAGGCGCAAAGGATTGCCCCCGGGGGCCACAACCAGCAGCTGGCATAGTCCCGGGAGATATCTGCAACAAGCCCACAGGCCCGCCCGCAGCCTCCCACCACCTAGCCGGCCAAGCACGGAACCCAGCAACCCGGGACCCAGGGGCGACCGGCCCCGACGGCGACCCAGCAGAGCCCAGGGACTCAGACCCCACCAGGCAGCCACCGGGATTAATCAGGCAGACACCAAATATATTAAATCCCCTGACCCGAGAACAGCGAACACTCAGGCAGACTAAGGCGCCACACTCCACACCTAGTGTTGCAGGGGGAGGTTTTAGGTTTTAAGGTTTGGTGATCTTCTCCGTTCCTTGACGTGTCCTCCCCCACTAACAGACCTGCACTTCCAAACACGATTAAATATGGAATGACCAATCATTTCTCACAATACGTTCCAGGTGAGTTCACAATGACAGCTCCGCTCAGAAAGCTGTTGTGAAAAGATATTTTGTGGAAATGTGAGCATGAGCCTGAAGAAGCTGTAAAGAAACTAAAGATGGCGCTCAAGTTCTTTGACCCACTGAAAGCTGTAAGGATGGATTAGAAGGGCACTTCATTTAAGATGGACACTAGGGTTGGATAATGAGCACGGATTATCACTAGGACTAGGTGTCAGTTGTTCCCGGAATCGTTTATTTATTTATTTTTATTTCCATTTGTAGTCTTGATTGCCATGTCCGCTTACCAGAAGAAGAATCCAGTAAAAAAGTTTGCTTTACAGTGAAATTGTGGAAAATAAGCGGACCGCAAGGGCAGTGTGGCTTCAGCTGCCGTTCCAAATCGGACGATCTTCGTGAAAAATATGTGATTTGTGATTCCGGTAACACCTTGCAGAGAGCCAGTGTGCAGCATCGCGTCTACCTCCCCCCCTCCCTCACACTGCAGGTGTGCAGTGGTCGAAATGTAAACAAACATGTCTGTCGAACGTTTACTTCATGAAAGTGATGTAATCGTTGCATCCTGCTATGAAAAATACTGTATGGAGGTCTAACGTACCAAGTGGTCAAATTTTCACCAACAAATTGACCAGAAAGTAACCTTACATTTATAGACACAAACACACCATCTGTCTGGCCTCCAAATCCAGAAAGCTCTGCCCCAGTCCTTGTTACCACACAAAAAGACATAACATCTTTGATCAAGGCCTCATGCAGAAGCAAAACTCCTGCATCCTCACAATGAATAAAGTTCAAACTCCTCAAAGTGCCTACATGACTTTACATCTCATAAGTTGAAATAATCAAATGTGTTGAATTAATAAGGTGTTTAAATCAAATGTTGAATAATCTGTGCTTTAATCTATCTGTACTCATACACATTATAATAAGATCATTTTTTCCAGCTTCGCCGGCTATCAAAGATGAAGACCATCCTGACTAGAAGTGACCTGCACACAATGATCCATGCATTTGTGATCTCTCGCTTGGATTACATGAATTCCCTTTTTTATGGATCCACATCTTCCTCGGTTGCACGCCTACAGCTGGGGCAGAATGCGGTGGCCCACTTTTTGACGAACACCAGAAGGAGGGAGCACATTACTCCTGTTCTGGCCCAGCTGCACCGGCTCCCAGTGCGCTACCGTATCCAGTTAAAAATTTTACTTCTTGTTTTTAAGTCACTCTATCTTTATGCACCTCTGTACTTGACTCAGCTGGTTCAGCCTTCCGTACATGGTTACGTACGCCTGTTACAGGTCCCAAGTGTTCGGGTAAGGACGCGAGGAGAACGAGCATTCTCAATCTGTGCGCCTCGTCTCTGGGACCAACTCCCTCTAGCAGTGAAAATGGCCCCCTCTCTCTCTGATTTTAAATCACGCCTGAAGGCTCATTTTTATTCCTTGGCTTTTACTTCAGCCTAGCTGGCATTTTACGATGTTTTTGTTTTATTTTTATTGTTTTTATAGTAGTTACTGTACTACTTTTATTACTTCTTCCCGTATGTTGATTTTTATGCTCTTTTACTGTGCAGCACTTTGGTTGGCCTCGGTCGTGTAGAAATGTGCTTTATAAATAAAATGAAAATGGAAATCATTATTTATGTTTAACATAAACTTCACATAAGTGTTTAAAACATTCTCAGATCCTCCGAGTTAACCTCTCTGAGGATCTGACTGAAGGAGTGACGTTCTGAGGTATTTCGGTAATGCCCTCAGATGCGTCACATTTTGATTAGCTAAATTTGCAAACAATGGGTTTTAATAAAACAGGAATTACTTCCCGATTAATTCAGTTTCCAGCTGACTTCAGTGGAAAAGCATGTTGAAACCATATTTTCTTTTTATATCAAGTCAAAGCCTCTCTGCATCGCTGAGAGTGATTACAGACACAACGGCTCTTTTAAGAGCCTCTCCTCACCTCAGACAGACATCTATCCTGCAGGCCCTGGTTGCATCTCATGGCCGGTTAAAGCTGAATTCAAGTGGGCTATGACTCTTTGAGTTCTCGTGGTCTCGACGTCCGGTGACTCACCACTCGCGCCGCCCTTCCTCCGGACCGCAGGGAGCAACACATACAAAGGGTATTGTAGGCTCCACACTGGTGTCGGATGGTTTTATAAACAAATCTCTAGTTTACCAAACAAACAGCCAAATCGATTTTACATCCCAGACTCCACAAACTCTCTCAGATACTTAAGAAATGTTTTGCTAAAACTTCTAGCTTCCATTCCAGCATTCCACACATTACATTAAATCCTTTCATCCATTACATTACATCATCATCATAACTTGTCTTGTATAATCATTAGTTTAGGGAATTAGAAATAAATTCATTTTTACAAACTATACACTTGACTCTGTCTCAAATAATCTGAAGTGTGTTTATGGTCCCTGAATAAGTAAAAGTAACTAGAATCTTCTGATTAAAAATTCACGGATCAATCAGGTTTATATTCCACATTTATATGGACTTATCACATCTTATTGATCATTTGTTACATATGTAGCCACTCCTTAAAGCTTGGTTTATGCTTGACGCATTCACTTTCCACGCGGTGATGCGGCTCGCGGATGGAACGCGCTTCACAACTTGCAGCGTTTATGGTTTGTGCGGCTTGTCTCTGCGGTGAGCCAATATTCTCCCAAACTGTAGGGGGCAGCATGGAGCTCTACGGCATGCATCCAACACTACACCATAGTAGAAGTAGAAATGACTATTTACAACATGGCATTTCAGCATTTTTAACAGCGTTCTCGTCTTTTCCGACAGTGCGAGCTATTTCTCTCCAAGAATTATTAACAACATGTTGATCACGGTGATCTCTGAGAGCTGAATCATACAAATGTCTGTATTTACGAACCTCTGCCATACTAGTTCTTGCCGGTCCGCCATGTTTTTCCGCGTCCGTCCGTCCGCGTGGTTAGGAAATTTCCGAGGTGCGCGTTGTGGAAATTCTGGGCCGTGCAGAGACGCGGTGGAGGGGCGTGGTTGTTAAGATGACGCAAAATGACGCAACTTTTCCGCGCGGAGCCGTGCGGACCTCGCGGACGCGTCAAGCATAAACCAACCTTTACACTACAGAGGAAACTCGTTAAAATGCGTCAACACATAAGTCTTAAGCTCAGGTTATAGCTCATCGTTGTGTAATGATGAGCGACACCTCTCGGTGGACACGGAGGTTAAGTGAAACACACAGCTTGAGGGAAAAATATGTGGCTTTCAAGGCAGGAAGGAGTGGCTCATGGGCCGGATGAAGCCCTGAGAGTAAAGGATCACTGCCAGGGGTCCAGGACTGATATCGAAAATTTGAAAAACTAAAAGGATCATTTTTGTAAACTTGTAGTTGAATGAGTTCCTCCTGTCCTGTGTCGACTCTCATGTCTGTTTAAAGTTGATTTTGTACCAAATATTTTTCCACAGTTGTCACAACTAAATCATTTTGGTTCTGTCTGGACTTCTCTGCATGAGTCTACAAGTTGCTTCACTCTAACACATTCAAGAACTTATTGCTGAATGACCGTTCTCCCTCACGTTTCTGGAGACCACTTGTGGAGAAATTGTTTTATCACACTCAGGACAGCTAGAGAACTTGTTGACAGACTTACCATCTGACTCAGAAGACCTGCTCTCATTCCAGTCACGTTCTTCATCTCCAGTTTCAGACCCAGACTCTGAAAGCTCAGAGTCTAGAGTCACACCATCACCTTCTTCATCATCTCCACTAACTTCAGTCTCTGAAGAATCAGATGTTTGTTCATGAGGGTTCAGATCTGGGTTCCTGCTAGTTCCTGCTCCTCCACCAGTTTCTGCTGCCATCTGGTCAGCTGAGCTGCTGGTTGGAACATCTCTGTCTTCTATTTGCTGCTGATGAAGCTGTGAGACCAGAGGTTTCTCTTCATCCTCCTCACTCTTTATAGAAACAGCAGTAACAGGAAACCCGACAGCTTCAGTCTCCTCCTTCAAACAGAGATGCTCTCCCTCCAGACTGGTCCAGAGCTCCTCCTGTTCCTCCTTTATGTGGAGGTGTTCTGGGTCCTGCTGGTCCACACCAGCACTCTGTTCTTCAGGAGCTTCTTCTTTAACCAGCGCCAGCTGTTGAAAACCTGTAGGAAACACAGACACAGGATGTTACAGACCACCATACCTTTATATTCACATGTGTAACAGTTCTATGTAATTATGATTAGTGATACTGGCTACATGATGTGGGAAAAAGGAACAAGAACATTAACTTAGTTTAGACAAAAATGTGTTTCTATTTGCTTTAAGAGCAAAACTAAAAATGACTTGCATCACAATCCGCATGTTTGTTTCCGACTAGGAATGCACTGAAATGAAAATTCTCAGCCAGAACACCAAAAGAAATTACTATGTATCTGGAGTTGCTACCACTGAGAGGTGCCGAGCAGGGGTGGGCATACTAGTTGTCCCCCATCTTGGTGCCTGTGTGTTGGGGTTTACCCCTGTGAATGAGAGGGTAGCCTCCCAACGGGTCCTGACTGTGGTCTGTGCTTATGCACCAAACTACAGTTCAGACTACCCACCCTTTTTGGAGACCTTGAACAAGGTGCTGGAGAGCGCTCCTTCCAGTGACTCGCTCGTTGGGGGACTTTAACGCTTATGTGGGCAACGACAGTGAGACTTGGAGAGGTGTGGTTGGGAGGATTGGCCCCCCTGATCTGAATTTGAGTGGTGTTTTGTTACTGGACTTCTGTGCTAGTCATGGATTGTCCATAAGGAACACCATATTCAGACATAAAGGTGTCCATACTGTATGTGCTCTTGGCACCAGGATACCTTAGGCTGCAGCTCGATGATCGACTTTATTGTCGTTTCATCTGATTTGTGGCCGCATGTCTTGGACACTCAGGTGATGGGGAGGATGCCGGCCAGACCTGGCAGGCCGAAACGTATTGTGAGGGTCTTCTGGGAACGTCTGGCAGAGTCTCCTGTCAGAAGAAGCTTCAAATCCCACATCCAACAGAACTTCCAAAATGTTCTGGGAAGGCGGGGAACATTGAGTCCGAATGGGCAGTTCCATGGCTCCATTGTTGAGGAGGTCGACCGGAGCTGTGGCTGCAAGGTCGTCGATGACTGTCGTGGCAGCAACCCCCGAACCCACTGGTGGTTAGGGATGCTGTCAAACTGAAGAAAGAGTCCTATCAGGTCTTTTTGGCCTGTGGGACTCCAGAGGCAGCTGATAGGTACCAGTAGTCCAAGCGGAATGCAGCTCGGGTGGTCGCGGAGGCAGAAACCTGGGCGTTGGAGGAGTTTAGTGAGACCACGGAGCAAGACAACAGTACAGCTTCAAGGAGATTCTGGTCCACCAGGAGGGGAAAGCAGTGCTCTACCAACACTATTTATAGTCGGGACGGTGTGCTGCTGGCCTTTACTCGGGACATTGTGGATCGATGGGCAGAATACATGAACTGTTTTTGAAGCAGATTAAGTCTGGAGAGTGTAATCCTCCCTTTAAAGCTGCAGCTTTTGGGTAGGTTTGTTAGGACTGGCTCTTGATTAATTGTAACCTCCTGGAAGCCGCTGGTGTTTTTTGGAATGATGGCAGAATCACAACCTGGCTTCTCAGATGAATTAATGATATTATATTGATCAGAGATATGATTGGAATGTAGAGAATTTGATTTTTCTAGAACATAATTTTTCTGTCAGGATTAGAAGCTTGGCCTCCACGTGAGTTGACCCAAAACCAAGTTCATGCATATTGGAGACGAACCAGATCCACCCCCAATATACCTTGGTAACGACCTGTGAAGAATTTTGTGTATCTGGGCTCCTTAGTGACGGACAACGGAAACCTGAAACTAGCGATCAATCGCAGAAGAGCCCTGGCTGCATCAGCTCTACAGTCGCTCTGGAAACCATTCTGGCAGCACCAAACCATCTCTCGCAAGATGAAGCTCCGTTTTTACAACTCTGCCATAATCTGCATTCTGCTCTATGGCTCGGAGACCTGGCCCTTAAACAAGACTTTGGCTGAAAGAATCGATGGCTTTGATAGCAGGACTTCATGAAACATTGTGAACATCAGGTAGCCCCAGTGGACCTCCAACAGAGTGCTAAGAGAACGCATGCGCCAGCCAAGAGCACCACGCCTGGCAGTGCAAAGCTGCACCCGCTGGCTCGGACATGTTTTTTCGTCTTCCCTTTGACCATCCGACCAGAGCCATTCTGCAGTTTGACCCCTGGCTTTCTCGCCACCGTTGTTGACATTCAACAATTTGGAGTTGCTGTGGCGAATGCAGAACAGCTGGCACTAGACCGCCAGCAATGGAGAGCGCGCCGGGTCATCTCTGCGTCCCGCACCTCCGTCCCCCGAAGCCCCGGTCCCGCCGGACGTCCACTGCCCAGTCGCTACGACCCCCCCTGTCTAGGGTGGGGGTCGCTATATAGGCGCGGGCAGTTTCGGACCGATGAGGCGCACAGGGCAACGGGGGGCAGAGAGCTACGGGCGCACGGAGTTTGGCCCGGCGCGGAGCACGCCGGGCCTCTCCGCGTCCCACACCTCCCCCTAATGCTCTCGCCACCGCCTGTGGGGGGGGGGGGGGGGGGGGGAGGCCGAGCAGGTCAAGGGCGTATCAGAAGTGAAAACTTTCATGTGTTCGTCAGCCTTTGAATGACTTTCTTGTGCTGCACCCTCTGCGCTGTAGCTGCTCAGCCTTTAACTTTGTCTTATTGTTGATTCTTACATCTGAAATTAGTTGTACAATGTAAGAAAAAGAAGTAGAAAAGGAGCCAGGATGGAGCGTGACTATTCTAGCCCATACACAATCCAGCAACTCTTGGGCAAGACTGCTATGCTGACAACTATGACAGGGAAACACTTGAAAACAAAGCACAGCATCACTCACCTAAAGCCCTACAAAAGAGGCAATGTGGGACACAAGGAAGCTGGGCCAGATGAACCACTAACAAAAATTCAAAAACTTGAATCAAGTGAGAAGCAAGAGAGGGAGTCAGTTATTAAGTATGTGGGCAAAACACATCTGGTGGGGAAAACTCAAAATCAGGACTCCGACAAAGTGATCCCTCCCTTTTCCAAGTTGTCTCCCTTGCCCCCTCCCAGGATGTCTCCCTCACACCCTCACATAATGTCTCCCTCGCCCCCTCCTGAGACATCAACCTCACCCCCTTCAAACATGTCTCCCTCACACCCTCACATAATGTCTCCCTCGCCCCCTCCTGAGACATCAACCTCACCCCCTTCAAACATGTCTCCCTCGCTCTCTCCCTGGAGGTTTCCTTCACCTCCTCCCAAGACATCTCCCTCACCCCCTCCCAAGACATCTCCCTCACCCCCTCTGAGCATGTCTCCCTCACACCCTCACATGATGTCTCCCTCACCCCCTCCCAAGACATCTCCCTCACCCTCTCTGAGCATGTCTCCCTCACACCCTCACATCATGTCTCCCTCGCCCCCTCCTGAGACATCACCCTCACCCCCTTCAAACATGTCTCCCTCGCTCTCTCCCTGGAGGTTCCCTTCACCCCCTCCCAAGACATCTCTCTCCATGTCACCCATGCCCCATTCCAAGACAACTCCCTCACCCCCTCTGAGCATGTCTCCCTCGCCCCATTCCAAGACAACTCCCTCACCCCCTCTTTGCACGTCTCCCTCACCCCGTCCCAAGACTTCTCCCTCACTCCCTTTCAAGACATCTCCTTTGCCCCCTCCCATGATGTCCCAGAAAACATTGCAGCGGCAAGGCGCAGTAGTACCGCAAACCAAAAAAAGTTTTTGGCCCCGTTGGCCATTGGTTCAGACCGGTTGGTCAGTTATTTGCATGTTAGTTCACTGCATGTTTGTTTACTGCCTGCTACTGCTCATGTATGCACAAATTCCCATTGTTCCTAAAAAATGTCGGTTGTACTTTACTTAGCTTTAAAATATTAATTTATTTATATATTTACCTTTTTTTGCAGTACTTAAACTTTGGTCTTTGAAAAGACTCTGGCCAAATAGAAGCCCTGGTTGGTCCATACAAACTGTATGATACATCTTTTCGTACACTATGTGGACATGGGTGGCTGTCAGATGAAGTGAGACTACTTTCTCTTGGAAATACACATTTTTCCAATGCTGTGGATCTAGAAAATAACTTAAAGCTGCTATTTTTTTGAACGGTCCTAGATGCTTATCTCCATCTCATTGTGGTAAAAGGCAAGGTATAGATATTTTGTTCATAAAATATATATCCATTATTTGCATTTTGTAATGATTAAATCATCCACAATTATGTTTTATTTCAGATACCAATATACCGCATGGATGCTGTAATTGGATCATCTGTATTTCATCTAGGGCAGCACAGGGCTTTTCGAAAAGTAAGTATTTGCTATGCTATACTCCTGTCTAAGTAAAAATGAATCAAAACTAACAATGTTTTTTGTCATTTATAAAGATGGCGTTCCCAGAAGCCTCGATATGGTTGTGCCCTGTAAATGTCGGTGGTCAATGGATTTTAGTGGTATGTTATCTTTGTTCCCAGAACTACATCAATCAATCTTCATGTGGATACTTTTAAAAAGTAACAGATGTCATACATAATGAACTGCTTGTCAGGATGGATCACAAGGAGGTTATTGTGATTGACCCCCTTGGCCATGAGAGGATTTACCAAAGAAAAATTCTCCGTAATTGGAGGTAGTGTGATCATCATAAGTCGGTTCCTAAGTTGTTTTTATTGTGCTAACAATGTCACTAATTTAAGTATTTACGCTACTACATAGGAATTTCTTGAGAGCCAAAGATGCCAGACAGGGCGACTGGAAGGTCAAAACTCTGCCGCATGGCCTGCAGCACGATGCCAGCAGTTGCGGGGTCTTGATTTTGAGGGTACCAAGAATACAAATGCAATAATTTTTGTAAATAAGATTTGAAATTTAAGATAAAATTTTTGTGTAGTTTGCAGAAAGCTTCATGCAGGTGGGAGATCTGCAGTCTGTTAGCACTGCACCTGCTCAAATGTTCCAGGACAGGATGGACATTGTGACAAAACTGCTGCAATGCAAAGGTGAAAAATACATATAGCATACACTTTCAGTCATTTACACATTCTTTTTTTTTAAATATTGTCTCTTTTACTCTCTGGGATTAAGCTAAGATGTTTGGACATGGTGTATGGCAGACAAGACGTAGTTTGTGCATGCACAAAGGATAAATATAGAGATGTGGTAGAATAATGGATTACAGGTATGGTATATGGACGTGTTAAATGAGGACATGGTAAGTGTCACAAATCGATTATAACACATTCTTCAAAACAAGGAGCTATTATTTTAGTTAAAATTCAAGCTAGACAGTTGGGTTGAAGCAGAACAGTTTGGCACTTTTAAATCATGAAGCCCTGGTAATGGGGGGGGGGGGGGGGGGTGGACCCCAGCCTACCAGAGGCATGAACAACTTGCCCTTCATGTAGTCAGTGAAAACAGACATGAAGACTCAGCACAGTCATGGGTGACCTGGAAGCAGTGGCAGCAAGAAGGAGCATGTGCCACGGGGCAAACGCAGTACCATTTGCTGATAAGACAGTTCATTGAAATCAGGTGTGGGTGAGACCATCCTGCTACATTTACCTTGCTATATTTAGTCTGATTGTGTTAAAAGAAATTCTCATTTGTCTATCTTTATATTACAGATAAGGTGGAAGACTACTGTGTTTCATACAACATGTTGCACTATGACACATGCAAGGACGTCATTGAAATGGTAAAAACACAGCCATAGAATTTTATACTTCCATTGCTTTAAACATGAACTTATAACCGTTTTTTTTTCATTCTGCCTCATAGATACAGTGCGACTTCTGTCCAAGAAGGACTCACAAAGAGTGTGCCACCCATTTTGTTGACCTTTTCAAATGTAAAAAGTGTGAATTGCAATATGTGTGTGTGTGTGTGTGTGTGTGTGTGTTTGACTTGGAAATAAAGTTTGTATTACCTTTCTTATAACTTTTAAGTTCTTCATGTTCAGTTTTTCATTCAAATGGAGACTGATCTTTATAACAGGAATCAGTGAATCAACTATTCTGCTTTCTTTTGCCATTGCACCAACTTGGTGAGCTTCACTGGAAAAACAAATGTACTGATGAATGTGTATCACAAATTTATTTTTACCACCTTATTCTAAAAAAAATTGCATTGAGCATTAAGGATGTCATACTGTTGTCAAAAACAGAAGGTATGACGATCCGACTGGTAAAATCACCCATCAGGGTGTCATACTTTTGTTTTTAAAAAAAGTATGATGATCTGACAGTGTATGCCAGACAGGCATACTGTGTACGGGTATGACAGTCTGACAAGGTATGACGACTGGACAGAATAATTCATCTATCAGTACCTGTGTCCATGCTGTCCAGGTCCAGGTGGTGAAGAACACACGATGAATCAGTCCCAGCTGATGGTTGATCCTGAAGTGGTAGCAGGTTTTCTTTAGCCGTGTTTAGCTAACAGCTGCAATAGAAACAAAGCAGGAGAGCTGATTAAGATGCTGCTTCAGAACAACGCAGGAGATTAAAGATCCAACGCTTTGGTTCTGATCAGCTGAGGACAGATCCAGTCTGGAAAAGAGGACCTTTGGTCACCTGAGTTCACGGAGTAGAGCTAACCGCCTCAAAAATTCTCCTCACACACCAGAACGACAAGCTAGCTCTGCTAGCAACTTTCGGTTTCCGCTTTTTCCGGCGGTCGGTGACCAGCGTAAAGGTGCACTATCGCCACCTGCTGGACTCTCTGAGCTCTGATAAGCTAAAGAATAAACGAATGTTGCATTTTCTACATGTAATTAATTGAATATAATACTATAATTATTATATAGCTATGCTAAAAATATTCTACATACATAAGTAATACACTATTCTAACACAACAGTTGACCTTATTTTATTTAATCTTCATTAAACCAGACGAGTCGACTGAGACTCATTCTCATTTGTGACACTCTGGCCAAGAGGCAGCAGCAGCAGACTCATAGTTAGCTTTACACCAAAGACGTTTGTATTTTGGACAGAGAACACAAGTGGTCTGAGAGAAGCTTCTGGAAGCTTTAGAATAGAATAGACATCGTTGATCACACATAGGCAGTAGTCTAGAATTGTGACCTTCGACCACTAAAAACCACAAATAAAAAAGGAAAAAACTTTGGTTCCAACACTGCAGCATAGTGCAAGAGACACGTACATACAATGTAAATCTGGTATTGAATGAGTATTGAACACATACTGAATATTGCATTGGTGGTATTGTGTACCAGGATAATGTCAGTACCAGTTAAACTGAGGAGTTCTACACTCTTACTGGAGAGGGGATGAATGAGCTATGGTAGTGTTGTTTTACATCTGGGATGTCTCAGTCTGCCTCTGAAGGAGCTGTCCATGGTCTCCACAGTGGAATGCAGTGGGTGGGAGGATTTTTTTTAAGATGGTGGTCATCTTCCCCAGCATCCTCCTTTCACACGTCTCCTTAACTGAATCCAGTGGGCAGCTCAGAACCAAGCTAGCCTTGTTATCTAACGTGTTCAGTGTCTTCCTGTCATGATCAGAGCTGCCTGCACCCCAACAGACCACAGCAGAGTGGACAACAGAGCCAACCACAGAGTGATAAAATGATTTTAGCAGATGGGAATTAACTCCTAAGGACCTCAGCCTCCTCAGGAGGTAAAGGTGGCTTTGGCCCTTCTTATACAGAGCATCTGTGTTGTTGGACCAGTTCAGTTTGCTGTTGAGGTGAATAAGCAGGTACTTAAAGGTATCCACCTTCTCAATGTCTGCTCCCTGGATGTCTACCGGTGAGTGAGGAGGAGTGTTTCTCACATAAAAGCTCTTAATAACCAAGCTCCATCATACATCAGTGATCTGATTGTTCCATATGTTCCTAACAGAGCACTTCGCTCTCAGACTGCAGGTTTACTGGTGGTTCCCAGAATATCTGAAAATAGGAATTTAAAAGTTAAAACTGCTTTAATCTTTAATTTTGTCTGGTTTCCTTCTCATCTAACAAGTTTGGCAGAATCAAGAGACACAGATTAAATCTCAAAAACACTCACCTTTTCTTATCTTTGTTAAGACAGAAGCTTAGGATTCGTCACTTTCTGAAGTTCTGACAATTCACCCTGAAAACAAGTTCTCTGGACATAACTTACAAAACGTGAGTTAAATTTCACAGTTTTTTTCTTTTTTGTTGTAGATCTTTTTAACCAAACCTGGTGACTTAAATCTTAAAAACGTATATATTTTATCATCTTGGTTAGGTTTGAAGCTTAGGATGGAATCTGTGAAAAACAGACTCGACTAAACAAGGCAGCTTTATTTATATAGCACATTTGCCAAGCAAAGGCAACTCAGTATGCTTTACAGCAATAAAGGACAAAACAAAAATGAATAGAATTAGATATAAAACACTGAAGACTAAAACTAGAAAACACACACAGTCCTGTAGGCTGCACAAGTAGATGAATGAAGAACAGAAAAGTTAAATTTTACAGGTTTCCAGCTAATAAAACAGACTAAAGGCAGTACCAGTTCTAGTGGCTAAACCACCCACATAGTGGGAGACAGTGACAGAATTAAAGTAAAATATCTGCCTCACATATCCATCATTTTCACTGCTCATCAGTACCGGAGGCTGTGGGTCTTAGGCGGGTTACAGTTGAGCTGAAATGAGTTATAACCTTTTTTATCCTCCTAGCTTATAAAAACCACCACGCAGCACAGTCTTGACTCGGCTTCTTTATTTTTTGTATTTTTTCCCCCACACTTCCTCGTGCCCTCTTTTTTTCTTCCCCTCCAACACAGCACATAGGAACCAAAACTAGGGCAAGGGGGTATATATAAGAATAACTTTGAGAGAATATAAAACAAATAATCAGATCAATTCTGTATTATTATACGCAAAATAATTCCTTACTAAATGACACTAATTCCTCATTCTGATTGAATGAAACTGAAATTATTGTCATCCATATTAAAGATTACACTAGCTAGCTATTAAAGATTACACTAGCTAGCTATTTCAAACTCATCTGGAAGTTTTGTGCTAAACATCATTAGCTTAGAGAATGTTTATTTTTGGTTCATCTACACCAAGATGTGTTAGATAATCTAAAGTAGTCATATGTAAATGCCTAGGTTTTATTTTGTTAACTTAAATCATGGAGATACAGCTCTGGGTAACGGCTGGAGACGGGGTTCTAGCCCTCCAGCTAGTGTGGATGTGCTCAGTTACCTGGATGTAAACAATAATATGCAATGGGTCTATATTTTATTGTGTTTGGTGAAAACTGAAGCAAAGGATGGAATCTGTGTATATTAAAAAAGAGACTTAAAAAATATTATATAATTTTAGATACACCTTTTCTAAAAGACATTTTTGTGCTAAGGATCCCAAACATTGTGTTTACTAAAATAAGAGAAGTTGTGCTTTTAGAGGCACTTTTAAGGCAACTAAATGTTATATTAAACCCCATTTTGTTGCTAGAAGCCTAGTAAGAAGTCACTCTGTCTGTAACCCCTCAACCCTGACCCTGAAGCTTGGTTTATGCTTGACTCATTTACTTTCCGCTTGGTGATGCGGCTTGCAGATGGAACGCGCTTCACAACTCAAAGCGTTTATGGTTCGTGCAGCTTGTCTCTGAGGTGAGCCAATATTCTCCCAAACTGAATGGGGCAGCATGGAGCTCTACAGCATGCATCCAACACTACACCATCGTAGAAGTAAAAATTACTGTTGTTTACAACATGGCATTCCAGTATTTTTTACCAGCGTCCTCGTCTTTTCCAACAGTGCGAGCTATTTCTCTCCAAGAATTATTAACAACATGTTGATCATGGTGATCTTTGAGAGCGGAATCATACAAATGTCTACATTTACTTACCTCTGCCAAACTAGTTCTTGCCAGTTCGCCAAGTTTTTCTGTGTCCGACTGTCCGCGTGGTTAGAAAATTTCCTAAGTGCGCGGTGCGGAAAGTTTGGGCCGTGCGGAGGCGCGGTGGAGGGGCGTGGTTGTTAAAATGACGCAATTTTGCCGTGCGGAGCCATGCGAACCTCGCGGACGTGTCAAGCATAAACCAACCTTAACCCTACCACCAGAACACTTAACTCATTAACTTTCAATGACGACTTTAAACGATCACGTGAGAGTCCACTAAAGTTGTCATTTGCATTTTTTTACTGTGTGGGCGTCGGAATGAGCCCCCGCACTGTAAGAACAAACATCCCAGCTCTAAAGCCGATCTTCATCTGCATACGTCACACATCATGTGATCAGGAAGCAGAAAATCCATGTGTTAGCAGATCGTTTTGGGCCATTGCTGTAAAAAAAGTGAGGCTCAAACCTGAAAAGCTTCTGCCGATCACAACTCAACAACGGATTATGAAAAAACGTATAACGTGTGAAACACACATATTCTCCTTAATTTTAGAGGTGAGTCTACTCTTTGTTTTGTTGGTTTTGGTGTTGGCATCATCCTAGCGCACAACATTCTGTGACTCTTAAAAATACAGTGAAAACGCTGGCAGCGAAGGGCTTTTCTGATCAGGAAACGGCTGGGAGTGAATGAGTTAAAATAGTGTAAAAACATAGAAGTCTAAAATACTTGACACAAATGAACATGGGTCAGTCGGGAGCACAAACACCCAACCCCGCAGCAGAGATCCGATGAAGTACATGTTTGAAAAGTGCAGATGTTTTTGACCCTAATAGCCATCCATTGGTCAAGTCTTACTTGAACACAAACATACTGCTTGCTTGCAATCATTTAGGTTTGTACTGCCCCCCTATTGCCAGGGAAAGTACACACTGTCACTTTAAATTTGTCAGCACAGCTCATTAACAGAAGGTTTCTATCCTGTGTGGACACTCATGTGCCTGAAATTTTTTTTCTTTTGTCCATATCTTTCTCCACAGAATTCACAAGTAAATGGTTATGTCCTGTGTGGACTCTCATGTGAGTGTTTAAATGCGACTTTTGGGTAAATCTTTTTTCACAGAGCTCACAGACAAAAGGTTTATGTCCTGTGTGGACTCTCACGTGATCGTTTAAAGTCGACTTCTCTGTAAATCTTTTTCCACAGAGCTCACAGACAAAAGGTTTCTGTCCTGTGTGGACTCTCATGTGACTGTTTAAATTTGACTTATGTTTAAAGCTTTTTTCACAGAGCTCACAGATAAAAGGTTTCTGTCCTGTGTGGACTCTCATGTGAGTGTTTAAGTTTGACTTACGTGTAAATCGATTTCCACAGAGCTCACAGGCAAAAGGTTTCTGTCCTGTGTGTATTCTCATGTGAGTGTTTAAAGTTGACTTTTCAGTAAATCTTTTTCCACAGAGCTCACAGGCAAAAGGTTTCTGTCCTGTGTGGACTCTCTGGTGTCTGTTAAAAGTTGATTTTCTCCTAAATATTTTTCCACAGTCACCACAACTAAATGATTTTAGTTCTTTCTGGACTTCCCTAAATGAGTCTACAGATTGCTTAAGTCTTACCGATTTCTTATTAACCAAAGAGCTGGGAGACCTGATTGCTGAATGGCTGGTTACTCTCACGTGTTTCTGGAGAGACTGCTTGTCATGAAATCGTTCACCGCACTCAAGACAGGTAAAGGATATGTTGACTGTCTTAACACCTGACTCAGAAGACCTTTTCTCATTCCAGTCATGGTCTTCGTCTCCAGTTTCAGACCCAGAGTCTGACATCCCAGAGTCTGGATTCATATCATCATCTCCACTAACTTCAGTCTCTGAAGAATCAGATGTTTGTTCATGAGGGTTCAGATCTGGGTTCCTGCTAGTTCCTGCTCCTCCACCAGTTTCCGCTGTCATCTGGTCAGCTGAGCCGCTGGTTGGAACATCTTTGTCTTCTATTTGCTGCTGATGAATCTGTGATAACAGACGATTCTCTTCATCATCCTCACTCTTTAAAGAAACAGCACTGAACTGAAACCAGGCAGAATCAGTCTCCTCCTTCAAACAGAGATGCTCTCCCTTAAGACTGGTCCAGAGTTCCTCCTTTTCCTCCTTTATGTGGAGATGTTCTGGGTCCTGCTGGTCCACACCCGCACTCTGTTCTTCAGGATCTTCTTTAACCTGCACCATCTGTTGAACACCTGTAGGAAACAGAAACACATAACGTGAAATACCGACTGCTGTAACTTTAAATTCACACACATGACAGTTGTGTTATTGCAGGTGTCTCCAACATGTTGGTCGCGATTTACTGGTAACTCTTGAAAGTCGCTGGCCTGGAAGCAGCCAGTGAGCTGCCCAGCCTGACTTGTACTTAACAAGGCACGGATTTCTAATATGATGGCAAGCCTTCCCCGGTTCTCGTAATATCTAATGTAAAATTAGCATTTTGTGGAAGTAAAATAAAATCGGATTATTGCACAAATCTTTCAGCAAACATGTTCTACTGTAAATACAGTCAGGTCCATAAATACTGGGACATCGACACAATGCTCAACATTTTTGGCTCTATACACCACCACAATGGATATCAAATGAAACGAACAAGATGTGCTTTAACTGCAGACTGTCAGCTTTTTTTGTGGGTATTTACATCCAAATCAGGTGAAGGGTGTAGGAATTACAACATTTTGCATTTGTGCCTCCCACTTGTTAAGGGGCCAAAAGTAATGGGATAGAATAAGAACCATAAATCAAACTTATACATTTCAATACTTTGTTGCAAATCCTTTCCAGTCAATTACAGCCTGAAGTCTGGAACACATAGACATCACCAGACGTTGGGTTTCATCCCTGGTGATGCTCTGCCAGGCCTCTGCTGCAACAGTCTTCAGTTCCTGCTTGTTCCTGGGGCATTTTCCCTTCAGTTTTGTCTTCAGCAAGTGAAATGCATGCTCACTCGGATTCAGGTCAGGTGATTGACTTGGCCATTGCAAAACAGTCCACTTCTTTCTGTTCAAAAACTCTTTGGCTGCTTTTGCAGTATGCTTTGGGTCATTGTCCATCTTTATTGTGAAGCACCATCCAATGAGTTCTGAGGCATTTGGCTGAATATGAGCAGATAATATTGCCCAAAACACTTCAGAATTCATCGTGTTGCTTTTGTCAGCGGTCACTTAATCAAAAATACAAGAGAACCAGTTCCACTGGCAGCCATACATGCCCACGCCATGACACTTCCAGCACCATGCTTCACTGATGAGGTGGTATGCTTAGGATCATGAGCAGTTCCTTTCCGTTTCCATACTCTTCTCTTCCCATCACTCTGGTACAAGTTGATCTTGGTCTCATCTGTACGTAGGATGTTGTTCCAGACCTGTGAAGGCTTTTTTAGATGTTGTTTGGCAAACTTTAATCTGGCCTTCCTGTTTTTGGGGCTCACCAATGGTTTACATCTTGTGGTGAAACCTCTGTATTCACACTGGTGGAGTCTTCTCTTGATTGTTGACTTCGACACAGATACACCTACCTCCTGGAGAGCGTTCTTGATCTGGCCAACTGTTGTGAAGGGTGGTTTCTTCACCAGGGAAAGGATTCTTTGGTCATCCACCACGGTTGTTTTCCGTGGTCTTCTGGGTCTTTTGGTGTTGCTGAGCTCACCGGTGCGTTCCTTCTTTTTGAGAATGTTCCAAACTGTTGTTTTGGCCACGCCTAATGTTTTTGCCATCTCTCTGATAGGTTTCTTTTGTTTTTCCAGCCTAATGATGGCTTGCTTCACTGATAGTGACAGCTCTTTGGATCTCATCTTGACAGTTGACAGCAACAGATTCCAAATGCAAATAGCACACTTGAAATGAACTCTGGACCTTTTATCTACTCATTGTAATTGGGACAATGAGGGAATAACACACACCTGGCCATGGAACAGTTGGGAAGCCAATTGTCCCATTACTTTTGTAACCGTTCACCTGATTTGGATGTAAATACCCTCAAATAAATGCCGACAGTCTGCAGTTAAAGCACATCTTGTTCGTTTCATTTAATATCCATTGTGGTGGTGTATAGAGCCAAAAATGTTAGCATTGTGTCGATGTCCCAATATTTATGGACCTGACTGTATTTGGAATGGATTAACTGCTCAGGTTGCAGCGCGGATCCCCGTTTCTGATAGCGGCTGCAGCTGCAGGTGCTTCTAAAGACGAGGTGACGTCAGTCACACAGACCTGATTTCAGAAAAAAACATCCTCAATAAAATATTGTGGGCGACTGTAAAGTCCTATCTGCATAAATATGTCCTTAAAGCAAATTAAAAGCCCTTCGCTTATTAACACAATAACAGGCTTCCAAAGTCTGGACATCTCCGGTGATTTAGTTTCAACAAATTTCCCTCAAAAGTTTCAGCTGATTGTCCCGTTTAGGAATAAAACACGATTCTTAAATCTCTCGATCTCTCTGCTCTGTGTTGCTCATCCGTCAGACCCGCTGATCCAGAGGCAGAGAAAAAGGTTAAACCTCCAACCCTGCTTTAATGTCGTCAATAATAAATGCAGCAAAGCATTTATTGTAGACAGGTTAATCATTCACAGAAAGTAGATTTGTTATTCATTATCTGAAAGTATCTGATTAGTTAATAAACAAAATATTTTGTTTAGATTGAATTTCAGAATTCATCATTTTTCTTGTACTTTTTTATAATATTGATGTATTGAAATTCAGAGAAATCAACTAATATAAGCACATTCACACATGTGCTCTACTCATGATGTGGCACACCTGTGAGGTGGGATGGATTATCTCAGCAAAGCAGAAGTGCTCACTATCACACATTTAGACTGATTTGTGAATAATGTTTGAGAGATATGGTAATATTGTGTAACTGGAATGAATTTTAGATCTTTAAGTCCCATCTCATGAAAAATCGGAGCAGAAACAAAGGTGTTGCGTTTATATTTTTGTTGAGTGTACGTACAGAAAAGGTTTCAATGTATGACAATAGGCACCACAGCTGTTGATGAAATTATGCAAAGTTTAACAATTGAAATCAGGACAAAAAGGTGTAAGAGTATAGTTTTGAGTTGTATATATAGAACACCTGGCTCCTGTATGGAGCAGTATTTCAACATTATAACTAACATCTTTGAAAGAATACGTGATAAAAAGTCTTATTCTGTGTGGGGATTTTAATATTGATTTGATGAAAGGAATGTTCATAAAGCAACAAATGACTTTTGCAGTACTATGTTTAGTTTTGGATTAAGGCCACTAATACACAAGCCCTCCAGAATTACGAAAGACAATGCTACACTAATAGATAACATTTTTACAAATGTGTACATTTCAGCTACATGTGGTATATTCCTAAATGACATTATAGATCATCTCCCTATATTTGGAATTTTGCATAAGTTAATAGATAACACTTTAGTCGCAAACGATGAATCAATGCATAAACTAATGAGAATAAGGACCCTAGAAAGAATTGGATATATACATATATATGTATGTATATATCCAGGAGGGGCTCTGAGTAGACCCGCTGCTCCTCCACATTGAGAGGAGCCAGTTGAGGTCTTCATTTAGCATCAGTATTATGTAGTCATTCTGGATACACGGTATTTGTGCTTGTACTGTTGTCTCTGCTTTTTATTTATAAACCAAGATAAAAATGAATCACTGCCTCATCGTATTATTGAGGTATCGCCTTGGGAAAATTAAAGTGAGCTGAAATACTTCAAAATCTCTCGAGCATCTCTCCCCTGTGAGGCCAGAACCAGAGAGGTTCTAACCGAGCTTCATCAGCCCGCCGTGGACCGGATCTCAGAAACAAACCCAGCAAGACCATCAGGGTTTCTGCAGAAATCAGCTAAACAAATTTAATGCTTTTTAATGCCATTTTAATGCCATTTTTAACCTTTTTAATGCCATAAACAAACACACGTGAGAATCCACGGATATATATGTACATAAAAAAATCCTCTGAGAACTCAATGTATTATAATGTACCCTGAGATAAACAACAACAAAAAAAAAAAAAACGTATGCCTGGAACATAGCACATACATAGTTGCATGGAATGTTACATGTTATTGAACATGCTACAGCATTTCTTTCACACACACAACAGGATTAATGCATGTGCCTTAGCTCACTAGTTTTTGATTCCAGCTCTGACTCAACATCTGTCAGTTCACTGCATTTGTCCCTGTATCCCTTCCTTAGAGTATTAGATTTTGTTATCATTTGAGCCATGAGCGTGCTCGGTTTGTTTTCTGCCTGTTCAGCTAGTTGATCAGCATCTTTCTGAAGGCTGACACACACCACCCTTAATATCTCCTTTTTCTTTTTCAGCTGTTCTAGCTCATCTTCCAATGCTTTTCTCTTAAGTCCACGCCTGGCACCCTCTCTCTTTAACATACTCTCTTTAAGTTTTGGACATACTTCAACAGCTCTCTCTCCAACAGGAAGATGTTCCACCCATTTGTGTCCACAGAATGGGTGTGGAAAAAGAGATGAGCCTGTAAGTTTTGTAAAATCTTCTCTTCTTGCAGGGACATTGTGGAAAAGAAAGTGCATTGCTCTTAACAGTTTCTCAATATTCCATGTGGAGAAGCCAGTCTTGAATGAATTGTGCAGAGTGTGCAGTCCACAGCTTCCAACATTAATTAATTGGCGGCCTCCATGTAGTTCAGCATGCTCTTGCTGGAAATCATTTTAAAACTTCAAGTTCACATTTGGCCCATCCATACTGATGGAAAGGAGGTTCTTCATGTCTAGCAGGCACACACAATCCTATGAATACAATAAAATAAATTTTATTATTTGATATGAAAAAGAAAACCTGAAAACATTACACCAACATGTTTGATTTGAAATGTGCTTATAGTAATTTCAAAATAAGCTTATTAAAACTATCTAAAAGCAAAAAAACTCAACAAAATGAACACATCTTGTCTCTTTAATTCATTGGAATACCACTTCTTAAACAAAATGTACAAATATACTCACTTTGAAATGGTGCAGCAAATCTTTAGCCTTTGAATGGCCCACAAACTGTGATCCAAGATAACGTGACTGGACAGCACCAGCCTCCCAAAATCGAATATGGACGTCTAGTTGTTTATTTTTTGTGGACTGGTTGAAGCTTTCATCAAACATCAGCACAAATGGTCCAGCGTTGTTAGCTGCAGAAATCAGTTCTTTTTTGACATGTGGGGCGAGTCCAAACTTTAAAACGTAGCTTGTCTTGTCCTTTCCACAGGTGAAAGATTTAGCCATTTCAGAATCCGAAAACATTGCCTGGAACAACTCCGAAACACCTTCATTGGATGCATAGGAGTGGTGCTGCACGGCAGTGTTCAGACACCAGAGCACCTTTGCCTGAAGCACCGCAGGTGATCCAAACAATTTTTGAAGCGTGATTGATGTTCCGACGGCAGGGTTCACAGCTGCAGTTGTGCTGCTTTTTGTGGTCGTGGTAGTTGCAGAAGATGTCGCGTTGCTAGTTACAGAAAAGTAACTAGTCACGGTTAGCTGCTGTCTGCCTTTGTGGTTGTCCGACTGCATGTGCGATTTCACAGCGTTCACACCCATTGTACCAAGTTTAATACAACCAGCTCAGTGGCCTAGTGGTAGAGTGTTCGTCCTGAGACTGGGAGATTAGGGTTCGATTCCTGGTCGGGTCATACCAAAGACTTTGGAAAAAATGGGACCCAATGCCTCCCTGCTTGACACTCAGCATTAAGGGGTTGGATTGGGGGGTTAAACCACCAAAAACCCGTGCGCGGCTGTGTCTGCAGCTCACCGCTCCCCCAGGGGATGGGTCAAATGCGGAGAACAAATTTCGCACACACATCAGTGTGTGTGACAACTAATGGAACTTTTAACTTTAAATTTTTTTTTTTTACAAACAGTACAAAATCCTTCTCCATCTTGACCATTAACGGGCTGCAGCCATACCTTGAATTTATCGTTTTCCAACCACTTTTGCTGGAATTTGCATTTCCCCATTTTCCAAACGTTTACTCCTCACGATCCAGCTTCTTGTCAAACATCCGGTTTTACGACAATTCAACAAGAAACCGGTCGGAACAGAAGTAATAATCGAAATGGTTCCGCCAGCGTATTGACTCAAACATACGTTTCATACAATTTCACAACAAATCACAATAAAGACAAAAAAATTAAAATTATTTAAGAATATTTCTTGAAAAAATTTAATGCCACTGACAATCTAATTTAATGCTTTTTAATGCCATTTAAGGCCTTAATTTTAGAAAATTTCATTTAATGACTTTTAATGCTTTTTAATGCCCCGCATAAACCCTGACCATTATTTAAATATTGCAGCTCATGGGAGGGGTACTGTAATGTCCCACCATACAGTGATAATAAAGTCATTCATCCACCAGTACCTGTGTCCATGCTGTCCAGGTCCAGGTGTGAAGAACACACGATGAATCAGTCCCAGATCCTGAAGTGGTAGCAGGTTTTCTTTAGCCGTGTTTAGCTAACAGCTGCAATAGAAACAAAGCAGGAGAGCTGATTAAGATGCTGCTTCAGAACAACGCAGGAGATTAAAGATCCAACGCTTTGGTTCTGATCAGCTGAGGACAGATCCAGTCTGGAAAAGAGGACCTTTGGTCACCTGAGTTCACGGAGTAGAGCTAACCGCCTCAAAAATTCTCCTCACACACACCAGAACAACAAGCTAGCTCTGCTAGCAGCTTTCAGTTTCTGCTTTTTCCGGTGGTCGGTGACCAGCGTAAAGGTGCACTACCGCCACCTGCTGGACTTTCTGAGCTCTGATAAGCTAAAGAAAAAACGAATGTTGCATTTTCTACATGTAATCAATTGAATATAATACTATAATTATTATATAGCTATGCTAAAAATATTCTACACACATAAGTAATACACTATTCTAACACAACAGTTGACCTTATTTTATTTAATCTTTATTAAACCAGACGAGTCGATTGAGACTCATTCTCATTTGTGACGCTCTGGCCAAGAGGCAGCAGCAGCAGATTCATAGTTAGCTTTACACCAAAGACGTTTGTATTTTGGACAGAGAACACAAGTGGTCTGAGAGAAGCTTCTGGAAGCTTTAGAATAGAATAGACTTTATTGATCCCACGGTGGGGGGAATTAGTTACAGCCAGTGGTGGTTCTACATGGAATTACTCCCCGAGCGAGGCCCCCCTTTGATCCATAATATTTTAGAATAGCCTCTGAAATCGTAATTTAAACTGACATAAAAAAAACTGTAGACTACCAAAAATGCCAACTTTTACAGAACAAATCATGTGAGAAATAATCAGTGCAGCCATCTGCAATTAATAAACAGGATAGTTAGTGGTGACTGGGGCCTTTTCTTCTGCTTGTAGAGATGTTTTATTTATTGTTATGCGAATATGATCAACATGTGTTTGTTGTTGTTCAGGCAGACCACAGGCTGCAGCGAGCATTTAAGAAATCCTAGTTTGAATCAGTAAAACACGATTCAAGGAATTTTTTCGAATCATTTGAATATTTGTTTCAATATTTCAGCCCTATTAGCTCTGTTAGCCATTTGTTGACTGAATTTAACCGTTAAAATCCCAGTTAACTGGTTCAAAAAATTGAAAACATGCATCATGAGAGCGTACATACCTTTATCTTTCTCCTCTTTTTTTTGTCCTGAATCGGGCACCTGGTGGTTAGCCTTTTTATGTTCATCTCTTCTGTTTGGCTCTTGACTCAATACGTTTCCTTTAGTCAGGACTAAACAATTTGACCTTGATGGTTGGGTGACCACAAAATCGTTTTTTCCTTTATTTGGTCATTTCACACAATTCAGAAAAACCTGAAAGAATGATAGGCCTGTGTTTATATTATGAATGAAATGTGCGTTAAATGGAAGAACATCAAGATGTGATTGACTTTAGCCATGTTAATACAGTTGATTCAGCCCCTACCCGCTCATTTCATTTGGGAAAGACCCAGAGGTGAATTCCCCCCCGCACCCCTCTCCTTCCTGTTATTCATACACACACGGTGCACCTGAATTCTCTCAGTCAGGAGGAGCGCCTGCAGCTGCAGGGGGCGCCAACTTGCTGTTTCCAATCCAGACACTGTGATACGACAGATAATAGAAAACCTTGGTGCAGCGCAGATTTCTTTCTTTTTTATTTTTTTACTCAGCACTTGTGCGCCCCTTTTGTGTCATAAAAAAATAACGCCCCGGGCAACTGCCTTATCTGCCCGTGTCTAAAACCGCTACTGGTTACAGCAGCATCAACACTTAAGGGAATAATTTGAAGAAAAAAGTTAGCAAACCTACGTGTATTTATACACATAGGCAGTAGTCTAGAATTGTGACCTTCGACCACTAAAAACCACAAATAAAAAAGGAAAAAACTTTGGTTCCAACACTGCAGCATAGTGCAAGAGACACGTACATACAATGTAAATCTGGTATTGAATGAGTATTGAACACATACTGAATATTGCATTGGTGTTATTGTGTACCAGGATAATGTCAGAACCAGTTAAACTGAGGAGTTCTACACTCTTAAGCCTGATTTATGCTTCTCCGTCTGCGTCAGTGCAGAGACACGCAACGCCAGGCAGGCACGCAAGTACGTACGGAGTCGAGCCCACTTTTTTAAACATCCGTCGAACGAGACGGATTACGCAAGCTTGTGATTGGTCAGGACGCCGCTGTTGTTTACAGTGCCGCGATTGCAAAGAGAGCCAAGGATAACTAGCTGCAGACACGGAGAAGCTTGAAGAATACCTCGCAAAAAAACTCTAAAAATATGAACGTTTAATTCCCCCGTGACTGGAGTGAAAAGATGCGCAGCAAGCATTTTATTTGTGGACGGAAATGACAGGAAATGTGGGTTTAGAGGTGGGGAGCGCATGAAGCGGTGGGAGAATGAGAGACAAATATGTCCGTGTTAAAAGTCTCTCATAAATACAAAAAACACAATATAAACAAACGATCTTGGACCGGATACATGACATGATACCACAGAACAGCGCTACGCCCTCTGTGGTACTGCCAGGCAATTGCTTTGCAACACTCTCCAGCAGACGGAGAAGTAAAAGAGCAAAACGCTTCCGTCAATCCGTGCGTGTCTGTCCCTTGCGGAGCTGACGGAGAAGCATAAACCAGGCTTCACTGGAGAGGGGATGAATGACCTATGGTAGTGTTGTTTTACATCTGGGATGTCTCAGTCTGCCTCTGAAGGAGCTGTCCATGGTCTCCACAGTGGAATGCAGTGGGTGGGAGGATTTTTTTTTTTAAGATGGTGGTCATCTTCCCCAGCATCCTCCTTTCCACACATCTCCTTAACTGAATCCAGTGGGCAGCTCAGAACCGAGCTAGCCTTGTTATCCAACGTGTTCAGTGTCTTCCTGTCTTGATCAGAGCTGCCTGCACCCCAACAGACCACAGCAGAGTGGACAACAGAGCCAACCACAGAGTGATAAAAGGATTTTAGCAGCTGGGAATTAACTCCAAAGGACCTCAGCCTCCTCAGGAGGTAAAGGTGGCTTTGGCCCTTCTTATACAGAGCATCTGTGTTGTTGGACCAGTTCAGTTTGCTGTTGAGGCGAATAAGCAGGTACTTAAAGGTATCCACCTTCTCAATGTCTGCTCCCTGGATGTTTACCGGTGAGTGAGGAGTGTTTCTCACATAAAAGCTCTTAATAACCAAGCTCCATCATACATCAGTGATCTGATTTTTCCATACGTTCCTAACAGAGCACTTCGCTCTCAGACTGCAGGTTTACTGGTGGTTCCCAGAATATCTGAAAATAGGAATTTAAAAGTTAAAACTGCTTTAATCTTTAATTTTGTCTGGTTTCCTTCTCATCTAACAAGTTTGGCAGAATGAAGAGACACAGATTAAATCTCAAAAACACTCACATTTTCTTATCTTTGTTAAGACAGAAGCTTAGGATTTGTCACTTTCTGAAGTTAACGTACAAAACGTGAGATAAATTTCAGCTTTTTCTTTTTTGTTGTAGATCTTTTTAACCAAACATGGTGACTTAAATCTTAAAAACGTACATATTTTATCATCTTGGTTAGGATTGAAGCTTAGGATGGAATCTGTGAAAAAATGAGGTTGGACTAAACAAGGCAGCTTTATTTAAATAGCACATTTGCCAAACAAAGGCAACTCAGTATGCTTTACAGCAATAAAGGACAAAACAAAAATGAACAATATAATTCACAAGCAAATGGTTCTGTCCTGTGAGGACTCTCATGTGCGACTTTTGGGTAAATCTTTTTTCACCGAGCTAACAGAAAAAGGTTTCTGTCCTGTGTGGACTCTCATGTGACTGCTTAAATTTGACTTATTTTTAAAGCTTTTTTCACAGAGCTCACAGATAAAAGGTTTCTGTCCAGTGTGGACTCTCATGTGACTGTTTAAGTTTGACTTACAGGTAAATCGATTTCCACAGAGATCACAGATAAAAGGTTTCTGTCCTGTGTGGACTCTCATGTGAGTGTTTAAAGTTGACTTTTCGGTAAATCGATCTCCACAGAGCTCACAGATAAAAGGTTTCTGTCCTGTGTGGACTCTCATGTGACTGTTTAAGTTTGACTTACGGGTAAATCCATTTCCACAGAGATCACAGATAAAAGGTTTCTGCCCTGTGTGGACTCTCATGTGACTGTGTAAAGTTGACTTTTCGGTAAATCGATTTCCACAGAGCTCACAGATAAAAGGTTTCTGTCCTGTGTGGACTCTCATGTGAGTGTTTAAAGTTGACTTTTCGGTAAATCGATTTCCACAGAGCTCACAGATAAAAGGTTTCTGTCCTGTGTGTTTGATCATATGAGTGTTTAAGTTTGACTTACGGGTAAATCCATTTCCACAGAGATCACAGATAAAAGGTTTCTGCCCTGTGTGGATTCTCATGTGACTGCGTAAAGTTGACTTTTCGGTAAATCCATTTCCACAGAGCTCACAGATAAAAGGTTTCTGTCCTGTATGGACTCTCATGTGAGTGTTTAAAGTTGACTTTTGGGTAAATCGATTTCCACAGAGCTCACAGGCAAAAGGTTTCTGTCCTGTGTGGATTCTCTGGTGTCTGTTAAAACTTGATTTTCTCCCAAATATTTTTCCACAGTCACAACTAAATGATTTTAGTTCTTTCTGGACTTCCCTGTTTGGATCTACAGGTTGCTTAAGTCTAACCGATTTCTTATTAACCAAAAAGCTGGAAGACCTGATTGCTGAATGGCTGGTTACTCTCACGTGTTTCTGGAGAGACTGCTTGTCATGAAATCGTTCACCGCACTCAAGACAGCTAAAGGATATGTTGACAGTCTTAACATCTGACTCAGAAGACCTTTTCTCATTCCAGTCATGGTCTTTGTCTCCAGTTTCAGACTCAGAGTCTGACATCCCAGAGTCAAGATTCATATCATCATCTCCACTAACTTCAGTCTCTGAAGAATCAGATGTTTGTTCATGAGGGTTCAGATCTGGGTTCCTGCTAGTTCCTGATACCCCACAAATTTCCGCTGTCATCTGGTCAGATGAGCTGCTGGTTGGAACATCTTTGTTTTCTACTTGCTGCTGATGAAGCTGTGAAAACAGACGTTTCTCTTCATCATCCTCACTCTTTGTAGAAACAACACTGAATTGAGAACAGGCAGAATCAGTTTCCTCCTTCAAACAGAGATGCTCTCCCTTAAGACTGGTCCAGAGTTCCTCCTTTTCCTCCTTTATGTGGAGATGTTCTGGGTCCTGCTGTTCCACACCCGCACTCTGTTTTTCAGAATCTTCTTTAACCTGCACAATCTGTTGAACATCTGTAGGAAACAGAAACACATAACGTGAATTACCGACTGCTGTAACTTTAAATTCACACCAAGCCCCCACAATGCGGCTCTAAAATTGGGCCCAACCCGGAAGTACCAAAAATTGCAGTTCCACACTCATCCGCTGGGGGCTGGTGTCAGAAGCGAGCAAATCCTCATTGACTCCCATGTTAAAAATACCAATTTCACAGCAGAAATAAACATGTTTACAGCCTGGTACCAAAACATGTTTTTTGTTTAAACGATCTAGTTTACACTCATGACAACTCTGAGAGGGGTGAATTTTTTTCTCACTCTTCTGTTTAAGTGTATTAAAAGCCTAAAATTCTGTATAATTAATGAGCATCAGACCCACGTGACCACAGAGCTAGCTCTGTGGAAAGGCATCAGTAGAGCCTCGGTCTGGCGTGGAAACTGCTCCGGGATTTTGAGTCTCTGTGTTTGTGTATTCTTTTTTGGATATTTTTTGTGCAATTGTTGGACAAAATGACTTGCTTTGGCATTAATTGCCCTAATAGAGCGTCCAAGGAGTCTCCACTTCATTTTTTTCGGTAAGTAAAATTATATTTATGTATTTTAGGTCACTGCCGAGCTGAGCTTAGATTTTAACATGTACTGTTTAACCATGAAATTTAAATGTAATAGGGTAAAACCCAGTGCATTTAACATAATACTGCACTTTAGAAAATGGGTTAAAATATAACATGTTGGTGGAGCTGGGGTCTGACTATCGGCTTGTGTTTTCCACCCGTTTCTCCCCTCCCCGCAGCTCGGCGCATCTCTGTCTGATTGCGGCTTCTGTCTGCTGCGCGGGCTGATGGCTTGTGGAGCTCTGGGATGGAAACCTTTCCACTCGGTTCTCCCCAGCGGCAGCTCTGCGCATCTCAGATCACAGCTGCGCTTGTCTGCTGTGCGGCTGCCGGCTTGTGGAGGTCTCGGAGACCTCTGTGTTCCACCCAGTTTTACCCAGCGGTCAGCCCGGCGTATCTCTGACTCAGAAGCTCTGGTGTTGTGCACAGTTAACTCCGGTTGTAGCTAGGTTGCTACCTCCATTAGCTTAGCTCCCAACTCTGCATTAGCTTTGGGTTAGCTTCAGGTTAGCTTGTAGCTAGTTCGACCGGGTGTCGTCAGTTGATCCCAGCCTTACAGCCCCACCCTCAGCTCCTCCTCTCTTCCCTTTTTTGGAATGTTCTGGGCTTGACAGAACCTGTGACACGGTCAAAATGGCGGTGGTGGCCACCTCCCATTTTAGTACAAAAACGTGATATTGGAGCCTATGGAAAGGAGATGTCCAGTATATTTATGTCGATGATTCACACATGAGAGTTGTGTTATTGCAGGGGTCTCCAACATGTTGGTCGCGAGCTACTGGTAGCTCTTGAAAGTCGCTGGCCTGGAAGCAGCCAGTGAGCTGCCCAGCCTGACTTGTAATTAACAAGGGACGGATTTCTAATTTGATGGCAAGCCTTCCCCGGTTCTCGTAATATCTCATGTAAAATAAGAATTTTGTGGAAGTAAAATAAAATTGGATTATTGCACAAATCTTTCAGCAAACGTGTTCTACTGTAAATACAGTCAGGTCTATAAATATTGGGACATCGACACAATGATCAACATTTTTGGCTCTATACACAACCACAATGGATATCAAATGAAACGAACAAGATGTGCTTTAACTGCAGACTGTCAGCTTTTATTTGAAGGTATTTACATCCAAATCAGGTGAACGGTGTAGGAATTACAACAGTTTGCAAATGTGCCTCCCACTTGTTAAGGGACCAAAAGTAATGGGACAGAATAAGAACCATAAATCAAACTTATGTTTATGTATTTAGCAGACGCTTTTGTCCAAAGCCACTTACAAGTGATAATCGGCATATTGCCCTTGAGGCTAACAACAACAATAACAACAACTTGACATCAGTCATGGAGAGTAGGGAACAAGGAGTAGACGGTAGAGAGGGGAGACGGGTGCAGGGAGGGGTGCTAGTTTAGAAGATGCTCTCTGAAGAGTTATACAAGTTATACATTTCAATACTTGGTTGCAAATCCTTCGCAGTCAATTACAGCCTGACGTCTGGAACACATAGACATCACCAGACGTTGGGTGTCATCCCTGGTGATGCTCTGCCAGGCCTCTGCTGCAACAGTCTTCAGTTCCTGCTTGTTCCTGGGGCATTTTCCCTTCAGTTTTGTCTTCAGCAAGTGAAATGCATGCTCAATCGGATTCAGGTCAGGTGATTGACTTGGCCATTGCAAAACAGTCCACTTCTTTCCCTTCAAAAACTCTTTGGTTGCTTTTGCAGTATGCTTTGGGTCATTGTCCATCTGCACTGTGAAGCACCGTCCAATGAGTTCTGAGGCATTTGGCTGAATATGAGCAGATAAAATTGCCCGAAACACTTCAGAATTCATCGTGTTGCTTTTGTCAGCAGTCACTTAATCAATCAATACAAGAGAACCAGTTCCACTGGCAGCCGGTGTTTCCCTTACATAGGCCGCCACGGCTGAAATCCCAGGGCCATGCCTGCAAGATCCCAAGTTTTATTGATTTTTTTTTTTGCGCCGTTTCCCGAAGAAGCAGCGGGAACTACTATGTTGTTGCTTGTGATCACAGCCGGCAGGCAGCAAGGAGGAGGAGGCAGGGCAGGGTGGTTACAGCTAGGGGTGAGCTGGATACTCATTTCAGACTAGTATCCGGTACGGATAAAGAATTTTTGACGAGTACGAGCATGAAACGAGTAAAACTCGTAAATATCTGTAATCATGCTGAAGGAAAATTCTCATTAGGTAACTGACTGTCTTCACGCTGTGATTGGCCAGTCACATAGAGCGCCCACCCCTCCCTACACACAAAACTCTGCAGCCGGGAGCTCAGTCCGTCCGGCCCATCCATGCACACACACGCACGCACTCACACACACACACACACACACACACACACACACACACACACACACACACACACACAGTAACAGATCTCTCTGTGCTTGCTTCACTGTTGCTCACGTTTCTTCAGTGCTCCCTAGGTTTTCTTCAGCTCGACTTTTTCGGTTGAATATTTAAAGTTACTTTTTCGTAACGTACGTGGTGCATTTGACAAGACAGAGCTGAAAACGGCTTGTGCATGCGTCGGTCACTGCCTCCGCTCTGGTCGTTTTTTATTCTCTGTCTCTCTCTCTCTGTCACACTCTCTCTCTCTCTCTGTCACACTCTCTCTCTCTCTGTCACACACACACTCTCTCTCTCTCTCTCTCTCTCTCTCTCTCTCTCTCTCTCTCTCTCTCTCTCTCTCTCTCTCTCTCTCTCTCTCTCTCTCTCTCTCTCTCTCTCTCTCTCTCTCTCTCTCTCTCTCTCTCTCTCTCTCTCTCTCTCTCTCTCTCTCTCTCTCTCTCTCTCTCTCTCTCTCTCTCTCTCTCTCTCTCTCTCTCTCTCTCTCTCTCTCTCTCTCTCTCTCTCTCTCTCTCACACACACACACACACACACACACCTCAATCAACATTGTTTTGTTTAACTGTGTGTGGGAAAAATGCCAACAATGTAAGGAAAAAATCAGTTTAATCAAATAAAAATAAAATGGTTCTAGTATTTCATATTTCCTAGTTCCTACTGCATGAGTTCAGATGTATTAATTCATGCACTTAAATAATAATGTTCTGATTTTACTGGAAAACTGGTTCTGTAATAGTTCCTTTACTATTGTGATCAAAACTATTTAATGTCATTTCTGAGGCTGCTCTGTAAATAGTTTTCAAATAAACAATACACATAGCAACTTCTGATCAATCCATATCAATATCACATTTAAAATAATGTATTGATGTAAACCACACCCACTCATTTCCAAATAATAAGGTGCATTCATCTGTGTATCTCCTTTGATCCGCATTAGTGATAATTTCAGCACCAGAACAGTGAAGCAAAGAAAGATTCCTGAGTTTGTTAGTAATTTTATTTATTAGGTGCATCTGACCTGTTCTATTTTTCTCTGAAATGAGATCAAATCAGTGCTTCTATGGGTTGTCTCCTCTCTGCACTAGAAACATGTACTTTATTATAATGTTCACTGTAATGCATCTTGATGTTCTTTAAATTAAATCAAAGATATTGGTCAATAATGCCAAACATGTACATTTGTGTTTCAGTCATTTTTATACTGGCTAAAAATACTTTATTAAGTCTACTAAGCGGCGTAGAACGTGTTTATTAGGGCCAGCCCAGTAATGATCTTGGACCTAAATAAAGGGGGCAGAAAGTCAAATACAGGGGGGCAAAAGGAGATGTTTTTCCAGACGCCAAGAAAAATTAAATGCCAAATCCCCCCTGCAAAGTGTATCACTGAGAGTTTAAAACAAAAATTATTCTTGGTGTATTCACCTTTAATACTAGTTATTAAAATGCAGCAGTTGCTGGATTGGAGCAGTTCAAAGTGGAGTGCGTGTAATAAAACAATATTAACATAAAGGTGAGACGTGGGAGGCACAAATGCAAACTGTTGTAATTCCTACACCGTTCACCTGATTTGGATGTAAATACCTCAAATAAAAGCTGACAGTTTGCAGTTAAAGCACATCTTGTTTGTTTCATTTGATATCCATTGTGGTGGTGTATAGAGCCAAAAATGTTAGCATTGTGTCGATGTCCCAGTATTTATGGACCTGACTGTATGTGGAATGGATTAATTGCTCAGGTTGCAGCGCGGATCCCCGTTTCTGATATCAGCGGCTGCAGCTGCTTCTAAAGACGAGGTGACGTCAGTCACACAGACCTGAATTCAGAAAAAACATCCTCAATAAAATATTGTGGGCGACTGTAAAGTCCTATCTGCGTAAATATGTCATTAAAACAAATTAAAAGCCCTTCGCTTATTAACACAATTAACAGGCTTCCAAAGTCTGGACATCTTTAACTTGTCAGTTTCTGGGTCCCCACCTCCTGCTCGCCGTATGGTTAGTTCTCGTTTTCTTAATGAGAGCACAGCTAGCAATTT